TCCGTTTTACTTGGATTTTGTAGTTGATTCTGATGAGTCAGGGGTTATGAATATCTACCTTGTTCCCTCGGAAGATTCACCGGAGGTTCTTATGACATATTTGAATGGAGTGGAGATAATGGAGATTATAGGGGAATTAAATGTAGTTATCGAGCCAGATAAAAGTAAGAAAACTGTCTTCCTTGTGGTCGGTCCTGTTGGGGGTCTACTTGTTTGCGTCTTGGCAGTTGGGTTGTTTATTTTTTTGAAGAAGAGGAAGAGAAGATCGGTAGAAACTTCAGTTTGGTCGCCGTTCAATGTACACGGCGGCGGAAGCTCCAATAGCAAGGGGACTGACAGAACCATCAATGTCTTCCGGGGCCCAAATTTGAACCTTGGCCTGAGAATGCCCTTCGCCGAAATTCAGTCTGCTACAAACAATTTTGATGAGAAGCTGCTGATTGGAAAGGGTGGATTCGGAAATGTTTACATAGGAAAACTCAAAAACGGCTCGAAAGCTGCGGTAAAACGGGGTCAACCAAGGTCCGGCCAAGGGTTATCGGAATTTCATACAGAAATCATGATCCTATCCAAAATCCGCCACCGCCATCTTGTTTCCCCGATAGGATACTGTGATGAAAGGTCTGAGATGATACTGGTATATGAATTAATGAAAAATGGAACATTGCGGGATCATATTTACAAAACAAACCTGCCCTGCTTGCCCTGGAAACAAAGACTTCAAATCTGCATCGATGCAGCTAGAGGCCTTCATTACCTCCACAAAGAATGTGCTGGAGGAATCATCCATCGTGATATCAAGTCGACAAACATCCTGCTCGATGAAAACCTCATCGCCAAAGTTGCAGATTTCGGGCTCTCCAAGTCAGCTCCAATGGATCAAACCGATGTAAGCACAGGGATCAAAGGCACATTTGGTTACCTCGATCCTGAATACTTCAATACACATCAATTAACTGAGAAATCCGATGTTTACTCCTTCGGCGTGGTGCTTCTTGAGGTGCTATGTGCAAGACCAGCTATTATTAGTGGAGATCCCCAGCTTCCAGTGGAACAGGTGAACTTAGCGGACTGGGGACTTCTATGCCACCGAAAAGGGTTGCTTGAGACGATCGTGGATCCATCAATAAAGGGTCAGATCAATCCCAACTCACTGAGGATATTTGCAGAGACGGTAAAGAAATGTCTGCTAGAAGATGGTGCGAATCGACCTAGCATGGACAAAGTGCTGTGGGACTTGGAATATGCTTTACATCTCCAGCAAACTGCAGTGTACAGAAAGCCTCATGAGGACAGCACCATTGATGCTACCTTTGGTTTGCGATTGGCTAACGTCCAACGACTCCCTTCACTTAGCCTGCAAATTGAGAGAGACGACATGCCCATTTCGAGGGACAGCACTACAGATGAGGCTTTCCCATCTGCTAGTGAGTTTTTTCTAAACTGAGAGTCAACGGCGCAAGATAAGGCCTTTAATTCTCTTTCAAATTGGTCTTTAAATATGAGGCAATACTCTGCATTATGATCAGTCCATCTAAATCTAAAATGGAAACTTTCTGGGTAATCCAATCAATTGCTACAGGGTTGATGCCGATCAAAAAAAAAAAATTGCTACAGGGTTGATTTCCAGGGTAATTTAACTAATGAGATGCATTTTCTATATTTTAATTTCTTATTTTAACCTTGATTTTATTACTATTTGAATGAATAGGATGTAATTTTCAATGAATTTTCCATAATTTTTATTTTTATTGTAGACAATGACTTGAATACATAATAAAAAAAGTTTTTAGACTTAAGTGAATATCTTTTGAAAGTTTAGGGACTATATGCGAGAGGACAAGTTGCGATAAATGAATTCCAAGTCATAGGATCAAATACCCATTATGATGAAGCTGGATGACCAGACCTGATATTGTATCATTCAAGAAATTGCGAAGGTGCAGAAATCCGACACGGGTTTAGTGTCGACACTAGTCGTCAGCTGTCAACATTACGCGTTAACTCCTTTAGAAAAATAGCCCTGGATGAAACTCCAAGCATAAATATGGATACCAACACCGTAGTGTCGACGCCAGAAGCAGTTTTGTCTACTAGAATTTCTTTAACCTCTATAAATCGTCGTCCAAACTCCAAAATAAGATTTTGGAAACTTTAGCAAGATACGGCGACAAGTAACTCGGCAGTGAAAAAAGAAGAAAAAAATTAAGTTATGAGATATTATATTATTAAACTAATTTTGTTTATTTATCTAAAATTAATTTATTTTTTTATTTTTAACTAATTTAATTAATTCATCCATTCAAATAATTTAATTTAAATT